GATACAATTGAATAATAACATGTGACTGAACGAATGTAGTAAATGATGTCAAGAAATTTGATTGAAAACCATGTATGATGGCAGATGTCTATAATTCCTAATCTTGAAAAGCTGGGGCAGGAAGACTGGTGCAAGTTTGGAATCACACTGGTATGTTCTAGGCAAGTCTGGGCATGCACAATGAGAGGCTATCACAAAAGGACTAATACATAAACAAACAAACAAACAAACAAACACTGTGATTTGGGAAAGTGTGTGAAGCTCTGTGTAGACTTGGGGATGTTTTAGTCCCATAAAGGCTTTTGGGTATCTTATGTTCTGATAAAGCAGTCAGTTTGTAAAACTCCACTTAGGTCCATGAGCTGTCTTGTAAACCCAATGGTTTCACATTTCATTAACAAATAAGTAGATGATTCACCACTTATGCCTGTGATTATCTTAAAATGATATCCCTGTTGTCACCATTTCTATATTATACAATGCGATGTAAACTCTCTCTTTTTGAAGCTGTAAAAATAGAAGCTTTGGTAAACTTTTTCAAGTGGAAAGATAAAGGAAAAATAGAGAGAGAGAGAATAAGTTTGGGTTATTTGGTCACAGCAAAATGACATTTGCCACTCCCTTTCATCTCCTAAAGGTAGTATGCTTACTTCTGATAATAAAAACAGAAATGCAATAAATGCACACATAAATTGCTTCACTTGTGTTCTATTCACAGTGATATTTAATGATTGATCATTTGATGATTGATTTTCTTAATTGTTGGTCTTTGTTCAGTTTTACTTGTGGTGATTGAACTGGAGTCGTTTGTGTGCTAGGCAAACATTTTCCCACTGAGCTACATCTCCAGTCTTAAGCGTTCTCATTGATAATGTAGTGGGTTTTTTTTTTCTCTTTTCGTTGATCTTGGCTTAAAAGGAAACTAGAGTATTGGAGAAGTGGATCAGAAATGCTTGCATATTTGACTTGGTGTTGCCAAATCCATTCTGTGTTCTCTGACCCCTCTTGACCCTGACTTAGTTTCTAGCACTCACTTTACTACCTGAAGTGACTGGTGAGTTGTGGCAGCAGCATATTTTATTTTTATTCCTCTCCATTAAGATATATTACTACCGCTCTGAGTCTGGTCCAGCACCATGACTACTTAACAACTAAGAATAGTGATAATATCTTGTGCAACTCCCATAGCAGGAGTGGTAGCCTGAGCCTCCTGTGTCTCTGGGGATAGACACTTCTCATCAACAACTGCCATGCTGTGAGAACTCAAGCCCCAAGGAGAAGACCTCCCCCCCCCACCCCGTCCCCCCATGCTGGTATACCATTTGACACCCATGGTGTCTGGTTTCCTGTGTGAGCCACCTTGAATGCTCTAGCCTGTTTGTGCCTTGAGCTGATTACAGCCCCAGTTGGTGTCAAACAGCAGCAGAAACACCCAGCTGAACCCAGTCAGCCTGCAGCCTAGTGATGGTGCTTGTAATGATATTTCAAAACAGTTGCTTTCACAGCAGTAGATAATTGAAATATCTTCCCCAGAAGAGTCCTGGGACTGAGGCTGTGGATGAACTCATTCCAGTTAAATTATAAAAAAAAAATAGTCTTTGGATTTATATGTCTAATCCTCATAACTAATTTTTGAAAGTCACTTGGCAAAACTTAAGAAGGCGTTTTCTTTTAGAAACTACACACCTTTAAGTTTTCTTACATTAAGGTCTTATATTAACAGTTGTATACTCTAGTTCCTTTATTCTCCCAGTGAACTGATACATAAAAAAAAATACATAATAGGTATTTTTTTTAAAGAAAAGGAATGCTGTTTTTTGAGGTTTTTTTGTTTTGGTTTGGTTTATTTTTCATTTTTCTCAGCAGAAACAGCATGAGTCTGGCCTTCTTAAAATCTTACCCCTTTCATTTAATAGTTATTTCCTGCTTAAATTACCTGAGTTACCTATCTCTTCATTTTCAAGGTGGGCAGACTTTAAAGGATGAGAGGCATTGAGACATAATGTGCGTTGTGAACTTAAGGAGTTCCTGGCACATAGGTGGAGCTATATAAACATAGCTTTTATGGTTACGAAGGAGGTGGTAATTATAGGGTTTTTAGAAAGCTGTAAGATTTCATTTCATGTTTCTAAGAACACACAGGAATGGGTGTTCCTGGGTCTCATTAAAGTGGACTTTACAGAGTTAACAAAGGTCTGCCTTGAAGCTCTCCCTATAAACAAATATGCTACATCCCAAGAAGTGCTTGGTGGTAGCCCCATGGATGCTGGCTTCCTCATACTTTATTGTTGAAAAGGCTCTGAGGGAGGGCGAGAAGGAGCTTCTGGCACCTGGTCCCCAGGGGAGAAGTAATGGAGAATTCCTTTTTTTTTTCTCCCCTTTACTTCTGCCCTCCCTTTCACACTTCCATTCATTTTCTAATTTAATAGAAAATTATAGCAGAACATAATAGTTTTATAGGAAGCTGGATTTCTGCAGGCTGATGGGAGCAAGGAGCCACAAAGTTCACAAAATGCACATCCGAGGGGGAAGCGTATATCCTAAAGTCTGACGTGTAATCTGAGCTCAAGGATAGCTGTGACAGTCCTAGGAGTCTAGTCCCTTTCTGGCGTTTTGTCCTAGTCTGTGGGTAACATGATCCTTTTCCTTGTAAGTGACAAGGGTTTTAAATAAGACAGCCGGAGAGTCAGCAGCAACCTTCCCTGTGATTAAGGTTAATATGACAACTAGAGAATGAGCCAGCAACCTTTTCTGTGACTGAGGTAAGGGAGGTAATTGCTATTGGTGGGAGTGATATAACACCTTTTCAGAGCTGTGGGTTATGTCCTTGGTGTTCCCTCACACCTGCCAGGCTTGGAGCTACCTGATTCCATCCAGTCTTTGACATTTAAATGACCTTGGCTATGGATAAGCTCCAGTTCAGTCCTTGAATGTAAGGTTTGAAAGCGTCAAGTATAAGGAGACTACGTGGTAAACCTTGAAGATGCTATAATCATTGAGATGCTATTTTATTTGAATATTTACATGAACATTAGTAATTAAAACCTTAAGCATAGAATGCTTTAGTAGGGATTTCTCTTTCATGCACTAAAATATTACATGTCCATCACTAGAGAAAATTCTCATTTTCTTAAAATTAAGTAAATGAAGCCAGAAAATGATCATATGAACAATTTCAAAATACTGGTGCATACACAGGCAGGTTGTGTAGAGGTGAACTTACGGTGACTCATTTGTGCCTGTGAGCTTGTCATAATCCTGGTTACAATTATGCAAATCCAGCCGGGCTTTTGTTGGTGGCAGTGACAGGACTGAAAACATAGTTTAAGATACTAATGCCCTTTGAATCATTCATAATTGTGGAGTAATTTCATCTGGAAGGAAATGATAATATTCTTACCTCCTGGCATGTGAAAAAGGCTTAAATATGTTTCAAAGCAGTAGAATTGTGCTGCACAAAATGAATTGTGCTTAATGCGTAAGGCAGATTTCCTTAAGAGTTGAGCATTGCCTGTCACTGCCCTGGGTCTGCATGGGATGGCGTAAGTATGGATTTAGAGTTTGTAAGACCTGCTTCCTGTCCCCATTGACATAGTTCCTTGGAAGCCATTGGGTTCCTTGGAAGCCATTTGGATGTCCAGGCGCAGTGAAGAGTGGCTCAAATGTTCAGATGCACAGAAGAGACACTGATATACCACAGAATGTTCCCTGGAGCCTGTGCTCTCTCTTAGAGACAGAGTTTCTTCCATTTATTCCGATACTTCAAATCCTGTTTCAAAACAAACAAACAAACAAACAAAAAATCAGCATGGAAGTTATCTGTAAATTACAGCTACTGAAACCGAATCCACAAGGCATGCTCTTATAGAAAATTCTCAATACTTGCAGTGTGATTATAGCTGAGGAGATGTGGTGTGTGTTACAGTGTCCAGGGAATTCAAGCCTCCTCTGCAGTGTGGAGTCAACATGAAAGGCTAATTTGGAAATGAAGCGGTAGATAGCATAAGCATTCCTCTTAGGGTTATTCTAGCCTACTCTGGATGGAATAAGGGGATCGAAAATGTAAAGAACAGACACTCAGACTTTTTCCCTTCCCCCGCACCCTCACACCCAACCCTGCCCCAGCACACACTCAGCAGTTTGCACTGGGCATTGCAAAATTCCTTAGCCACAGGAAAGGGTGAAGGCAGAGCTGTCCATGGTTTAGGAAACAGTGTTCTAACTGCCAGTTGAAAATCGGGTAATAAGAGTCCTGTTAGTGAACAAAACTTATTAGAATAGGCGACAGCTACGGAAGGAATGCGAGCGGCTCAGCAGCAGGCAGGAAGAAATTGCTGTTGAAAAGCCTACCTCTCTGGGGAGGAGTCAGAGACCAGACTTTGCCAAGCCTCAGGTCTAACCCAGAAGGTCCCACCTCCACCCTCCACCCCCATCCCCCTCCACCCCAGCTTTGTTAGATTGTTAGCATTGATCCCCGGCTTTTTCTGACCCCATAGTGGGTGAAGAGAAGGGAGCCAGCAAGACTGAAAGCAAGCAAGTTGGGGTGTGGGATGGGAGACTGGGGCCTGCTTTGGTAGAGGGGGAGGGGAGGAGGCCACGGGGAGACCCAGTTTAGCTGGTTCCCGGCTGCTTCTCTTTTCTCTGGCCTTTATTCCTTGTAATTGGATAAAATAGGAACTCACTGGCGGACCTGTGTTGCTGAGTGTACTGTACTTATTAGAGACTAGCTAACAGTAAAGTGGAGACCTGGGGTGGGGGAGATGGCAGGGAGCAGGAGAGAGAGAAGAGAAGGAGAGAAAGAGGGTGAGGATATATATTTAGGATGAGGAGGAAGGAAGAAGAGAAAGAAGCTGTGAAGAAGGAAGATTGCAGAGGAAAAAGTGACTGAGCGCAAGAAGGACAAAGAGGAGTGGTTGGGGGTGGGGGTGGAGGCAGGGCGGGGAAGGGAGTTACCGCCCCTCCTGGCTCCTCCTGCCCTCGCATCCTTGTGCAATGGTACTGTGATGCTCAGAGGGCAGGCACCTGCTGCTCTGTAATGATTCAGCCTCTTTCAGCCGCTGCGTTAACACGACAGGATGCTGTTGCTACTGTCGCTGCTGCCTCTCCTGCCGCCGCCGTTGCTGCCGCCGCCGCCTCCTCTGGTCTTGCTTTTGCTTTTACTTCTCCTGCATGACAGTTGTTTTCTTCCTCTAAGCAGACACCAGCTTCAGACGCTTGAGGTGAGAAACATGCCTTTCAGTTTGGGATACTGGTTTACTTAATCGGCTAGGCATCGGCTTGCTTCCTATTTTGGTCCCCTGCCTTCTTGACCAACCGGGATGGTTTGGAGAAGCCTTTGAAAGAACTGAAAAAGTATCCCAGAAACAGCAGCTCAAGATATTTCGGTACACTTCTATTTCATAGTTGCCAGAAGCTCTTTCTTTTCCCTTTTTCTTTTTTCTTTTTTTTTTTCCTTGACTCCTCCTAAGCTCTCTTACTTTGGATAATGGCCTTGGACTTGGGAGCCTTATCGATTTCCCCCTTCAAGATGCTGTATCATTTGGTTGGGGGGAGCTCTGCATGGTAATGCACTGTGAGAGAGGCCAGGCCTTCTGGAGGTGAGCCGATGGAGATTTATTCCCCAGACATGTCTGAGGTAGCTGGCGGGAGGTCCTCCAGCCCCTCCACTCAGCTGAGTGCAGACCCATCTCTCGATGGGCTTCCGGCAGCGGAACATATGCCAGACACCCACACAGAAGATGGGAGAAGCCCTGGACTCCTGGGCCTGGCGGTGCCCTGCTGTGTGTGCCTGGAAGCTGAGCGCCTGAGAGGGTGCCTCAACTCCGAGAAGATCTGCATTGTTCCCATTCTGGCTTGCCTCGTGAGCCTCTGCCTCTGCATTGCTGGCCTAAAATGGGTATTTGTGGACAAGATATTTGAATACGACTCTCCTACCCACCTTGACCCTGGGGGATTAGGCCAGGACCCTGTTATTTCTTTGGATCCAACTGCTGCCTCAGCTGTTCTGATATCATCTGAGGCTTACACTTCACCTGTCTCTAAGGCTCAGTCTGAAGCCGAGGCTCATGTTACAGTGCAAGGTGACTATGTTGCTGTGGCCTCTGACCCTTCAGCAGTACCGACCCGGAAGAACCGGCTGTCTGCTTTTCCTCCCTTACACTCTACTGCACCGCCCTTCCCTTCTCCAGCTCGGACCCCTGAGGTGAGAACACCCAAGTCAGGAACTCAACCACAAACAACAGAAACTAATCTGCAAACTGCTCCTAAACTTTGTAAGTAGTGAGAGAAAGAGAGACTGTTGGTGGCTTAAAAGAAAGGGTGGGTGGGAGCTTCCAGAAGGCATTCTCTAGAGGGTTAGCTATTTCCTTTTCGTTTGCATTTTAACCGGGAGGTTTTATTTGGTGAATCACGTGACAGGGAAAAAACAAAATAAAACAATCCTATAAACCCCTAGGATGAATCAGGTTTTTAAACAGCAACTCCATGTAGCCAGGTCATTAAGTCTAAGGTTGTCAATTAAAAACTACGAGCATCTTTTAAGTCAAGCTTTGGATGTAAGCAAAGTTCAATTGATTTACAGTAGTTCTGGAAGTTAATATCTGACTGCCCTTCATATTTTAATAGCTATGTAACTTCTGTATGCCCTTCAGTATTATTTTGTATTGTCCCCTGCCCCTCTGTAGAGTTTAATTCACCTTCCTCCTTCCTATTCTGTCTCCCTGGAGCCCCAAGCTGCCTGTCATCTTTCTCCAGCTCTTCCTCCTGCCTCTTCATTACATCTCTGCACGTCTGAATTTTCATTGTTTGCTTCTGATACTGCAGCAAGTCTGAGGACATAGTCCTCCCTCGGCTGTTTTCGGACCATTGCTATACTATACTGCACAGGTCATAGGAACTTACCAGAGGCAGTTTGTGCTCTGTTTAAGACAGACTGCAGTTCTCCACAAAGGGATTTTCCTAAATGAGTCTTATCTTCTGTAATCAAGTATTTAAATAGACTCCTTGCCAGTCATTAAAAACGGTCAGGACTATTAGCAAGGTACTTCCTTTTTTTTTTTGAATATGTGTCATTTAACCCCATCATGTTGCCAAAGCCTGGTTTTATAACCTGTGAAGGAAAAGACTCCACGATATTAAAAACAATCCGGAATGAAACACTGGCGTGTGCAGAGGTCATTGCCTTAGCTTTATAATGGAAAGTTGACAGCCATGAGATGATGACCAGCCAGATTGTTCCAAATGTCAGCACTGAGCTGGGTATTTTTTTGGCTATAATATTTAAAGAAATGTTTCCAGTGTTTTTCGGTTTTGTCTTTCCCACTCTTTATTATTTCCATTGATGAGTTTACTTAGTAGGAAAAAAAAAACTAAGAGATGAGAGAATTTGATTCTCAACGATACATGTAAAACACTTTAGTGTTAGAATGAGCTGAGGGTAGTCTATAATAAAGCAACCCACTCAGTTTTCCCTCTAGACTGTAAGGAAGAATAAATGAGACCTCCTCCACACAGTAAGGTTCAGAATGAAGTTGTGCAGTATGCTAGAGAAACTCAGGGAAAACCAAACTTGATATGTGCACGCGATCCAGGATGGTTTGACATAGTCCTGCTTCTGTGCAAAGGCTTGAAAAGGAAGCCTGCTTTTCCAGGTGTAATTAGGAGAACCTCCTGTATGCAGGCACTGCTTTGCAACTTCATCAAATCCCTAAAGCATCATTAAAAATCTGACAGACTCTCTGCCTTTGCTGCCTCTTCCCACCTGGCAAAGTGACCGGGAAGTAATACCCAGATGAAATGATGAACTATAAAAAGCCAGCACAGATCCTGCGGACAGGCAGCGCTCCCCACGCAGGCAGACAAGGTTACCTCTTTGTCTTTTATTGTTTGCCACGGAAAGCTTCAGTTGAAATGTGCACACGTTGGTTGAAGTGCCCAGAAAACAAAACAAAACAAAACAAAAACTAAGGTAGCGCTTTGAAAAACTCTTCGGACAAACTGTAATTTTGTCATCTGATGAACAGACAAAGAAGCAGACAGCACAGGTCCCTGAAGCAGGTCCCCCTTAGAAAGTGCTCAGGAACTTTTGAGAAATGGGTTTTGAAGGGAAATTCTACTAAGTGTTTTCATAGGCTATATATTTCAACTCACCCCACCCTGTCTGTCTGTCTGTCTGTCTGTCTATCTATCTCTCTGTCTCTCTGTCTATCTCTCTGTAGGGGTCTCTCTGTCTTGTCTCTGTTCCCCCCTCTCCCTCCCTCTCTCTCTCTCTCTCTCTGTCTCTCTCTCTCTCTCTCTCTCTCTCTCTCTCCTTTTTTTCCTAGCCAAGGCATTGATTTTTATGGCATTAACAATAAGTAGGGAAGATTTACTGCTGCTTAAAAGCCTCACAGAAGCCACCTCTGGCCTGAGCGCAGCTGCAGTGTTCTGAAATGTGTCCAGCACACTGTCTGGGAAGCAGTCTTCTCTTAAAAAGTTGGGGGGTGGCTGGGTGAGGACAGTTGGTTAAAGCACTAGACCTGCAGGGTTCTCTATGTGAAAAACTTAAAACGTTTTGGACTTAGCAAGATTCTGCATCTGTCAGTCGAGGCTGACAGTCCAGGAATGTTGGTTTGCAGACCTGCCATTGGTTCCTTTTCTGTTGTTTAGAAAGGCTGTGGTCATTAAGTGAAGAGAGAAGACAATGCCTAGCCTGGAGCTGTTGTCTGCTTTTTCATCTGGGTTGGTTGAGAAAGTTCAGTTTAGCTGTAGAAAGAACTGGACTTTCTTTCTCTGTGCAGGTTTGACATGGGCTTTGCCATCATGGCTTCGGTTTTCAAGTGGCATGATTGCCTCTGAAACATGCTCTGCAGTGGTTTCAAGACTGCACCCTCCCTTTCCCAGTTTTCTTCCGTCTCAGCATAGTCAGCATCTCAAGCACAGAGCCCTAGCCTTCAAGGTCATTCTCTGTGCAGGGCTAATTGATTCTTCTTCATCCTGGAGCCTGAGAAACTGGAAGAGTGACAGACATAGTGTTTTCGCCTGCTCTCTTAGTCCCAAGCCCAATTGACTGGCCTGTCTTGAGATTTTATTTTATAAATACTAGAATTATCCCTGTCTTCAAAGACTTTGGAGAAGTTCTCTTATCTTTGATAGAATAAAAGACAAAAGCATAGCAATCTTTTTAATTGCCTGCAGGTAGAGTATCTATGTTAGGATTTTAAGAATGGAGTTTTTCTCATGAGGTAATATAATTTTTCATGTTTTCACCGTATTAAGTACCCAACCAGACTTCAAGGAATTGAATGCAAAACTGGAATGAAAACATCTGCATTTGTATTTTTTATTCTGACATTTGTCTATCATTACAGTGGTTCTATTGTCATGTTAAGCTTACAGTTTTTATATAGTCACATAATACTTGAAACTCTTGTGCCTCTCTGTTGCTATAGTATAAACCCAAGGCCTCATGCATACTGGATATATGGTCTATTGTATCCCCAGTCTGAACCAGTAACTTTTTTCTTTATCTAAGCTTTAAAACTTTTTTTTCAGTCCTCCATGTATATGAATAGAGCTGGCTTTGGGGAAGTCAGAAGCTTCTATGGCCAGAAAAAGACCTGATTAATTAGCTTTTAGCCATGAAACTGTGGTAGCACCCTGAAAAGAAATTGCTTTTGAGTTGTTAGACCCTGCTTGAGAACAGACTCTTGGAGACAAGAGTACGTTGGTATTTTTATCTTTGGCCAAATTTGTTTTTGCTTTGTCTTAAATCTTCACTGGGATGCTTGAAAGAAAAGCCATTGTTGGCACAGCAACAGTTTTGGACCCTTCCATCTGTACAAGATTAACATGTTGAGTTGCCTATCCCAGCCAGTTTCTTCCCTTGATTTCAAAGGACCTTCCATTTTGAATTCAAGCAGATCCTTCTCCTTTGTCTTGATGATTGGAAGGCATTTGGAGCAGTACCCTTCTAGTAACTTCTCTCCACCATATCCCTCCCTAGTTTCAGATGGAAGACAGTAAGAATTTCAAGAGGCTGACAAATGCCTCCAGTTTAAGCCAAATGATTAAAAAGGATGAACGTAATGCTTTTACTCTAATTCCCTAACCTGAAGTACTCAGTGACACAAAACAATAGAAAATATAGTATCTAGCACTCCTGATTTTAAGTGTGATTCAATCATGTGTACACATGAACACATACATGTATATGCATACTACACACACACAAGTATACACACTCTCTCTCATACAGACAGAATACATAAACAAGCACACACACATACACACACACACACACACACACACACACACACACACACACCATTCTTCTACAATCACTACTATTTCCTCCTGTCATCTCATCCCTCCTGCTTGAGACTTCGAGCCGGAGACCACCTCCAGGGTTTCAAGTACCATTCACCTAACAATTAAGCAGGTACTTCGACCAGAACCACATGCAGGAGTCATAGGAGTAAAATTGGATTTTCCTCTCATCTTCCTGTTCTGCTTTTATTGAATTTTCTATCACGGTAGTCTTCTCCGTCTGTGCTGGATCATCAGTACAGTGTTCTGCTTGCTGCTGGAAACAGCTTGAATTACCCAGGGTGAGCTACTTTCTAAGACGTGGCAGATGGCTGTGTGGCTCACCTCTTTCTTGTATATTGCGCTTCCGAGATTTCCTCCATATTCCTTTGTGACACCCAGATCAGTCATTCTCCATCCCACCTTCTCAACTCTGCTTTGAGTCTGTCTTATTGCTGTGCCCAGTGCCACTTGACTTTACACACCAGCATTTCATTACATTTTAAACATCCCTACAGGTCTTTTCATGTGCCCCTTCATTTCATTGTAATACTGGATGCCATTTTAAACTATTCTGTCCAGCTAGAAAAAGCACATACGTGTTTCTTTTTACAACAGTCAACTTAAGCTTCCTTTCTTCTCCTCATCTGGCCTTCTTTTCCTTCCTTGTGCTAGATGCAGCCTTCTCTGCTGACTCAGCAATATTTCTGTGCCTGTCACCAATTAAGCATTTCCAGAAAGTGATTATGTCCTCAGCCAAGTACCTGAGTTTTCTTAGTTCCCCTTCCTTTTAGCAATACTTCAGTGTAGTATCCCTCCAGTGCAGGAAGGAAGAGACTGTACTGATTGAATAACCAATGCATTAAAAACAAACGTTAATGGCAGTCTGGGCGCCCCTTGAAAGATCACACTCTCACTGAGCCTACGGAACTTTCTAGTAAACCATAAAATAGACCACATGTAGTTTTATGCTGGCTTTTTTCATTAT